GCACGAGTGGGCTGGAAATCCCAGCAGTCGACTGGACTGTCCTACGACATCATCTACATAATGCCGGGGAAAGAAGAAGCGGGGGAGTGGTGCGTGGGCGTGATTACTTCGTGGGGGAGGGATGACCTGATGGAGTACTTGGATCGCGCGGACCTTGGTACGGCTAACATTACGTCAAATATGCTTCTGTCCTAATACTGCTGTATGTGCTATCGTATTAGAGGAGCTGAAACAGCGTCACATGCAGCAGCAGTCGAAGTCGCCAAAATTTGGGGAAAGTGGATCAGGCGGAAACGTGAATACGGCAGTGGAGACACAGCAGGTCGATCGTGGTCAAGCTCCAGAGGATCCACCCACGCAACCTTGTTCCGTACGCAGCTTGAACGATGGGAAAGGTGCGTCACCGACTGATGGAGGTACGGTTTCGATTACTCTGTACGTACACGTTTAGAGATGACGCTAATCGTGTATCTGCTGTATGTGTCGTACAGAGCACTATATTGGACATCCAAACGCGATGTCGAATCAAGGGGGTACAACACCGACGACACCGACGTTCACAAGTGCGCCCACGGATTTTATTCATGGGGTGTCGCCGCACGACACAACCTACGAAGATGGAGGCAACGATTCGGCTGAAGGCGATTCTGACAATGATAGCTCAATTGGTAAGAAGCTGTATGTACAACATACGCAACTGGAACAAGTCTTAGTAACGTGTATCACTGTTTTTCCTTGTAGCAACGTCGCCCAAAACGCGGCGAAACTTGGAAGGAGACTTCGCGAATTCCGACGAAGCTCCGAGTACTGGCGAGGGACGTCAACGACAGACTGCACATACGTCCATGTCGGATGAAGAGACGAAAGAAGATGATTCGAATTGTGGCACAGGTCCGTTAAAAATGTATGTACAAGATTGCAAGGTGGTTTTAACGTGTACATTCTGTATTGACTATTATTGTAGTATCACGAAGTGATATGAATGCCTCACCAACCCTCGTGAAGTACGCGATACTTGACTCGGATGGAGATGACGACGAGGGATGCGGGTGGAACGACGACGAGCTAAATGCGGACGGTGAATCTGAGCTGGACCCGGATGAGGAACGCCTACAGCCTGATCTGCTGTTCGATGACGCGCTGCTGGAATCTGTTGGGAGGCCATTGCAGATACAAGCAATGCTTACTTCGCTGAGAGCATTGACGAGAGAGTAGAAGGTCAGCTCAAGAAACAAGTGGTTCGCTCGCTCAAACATCCGAAGTTCAAGGCCAAAGAACGTGAACAGATAAAACTGGAGTTGCAGAAGATGGGGGACATCACGGGCCGAGAGTTGTGCGTATTTATAGGGCTACTGGCAGCACGAACTATTTCTCCAAACAAGGAAAAGCTTGAACATCATTGGAAAACGACCGATGAAGGCGCAATCCGGCGAGGTTGGTTCGGACAGTTCATGGTTCGTGATAGGTTCATGCACATATCACGCAACCTACATTTCAGCTCCAACAGCGACGCACGTGCACAGCTAAACAAGGCTTGGAAACTTCGACCTGTGATTGACGCCTTGACGCAGCGATTTCAGCGGGGATACATTCCACCTCCTGCAATGACTTTTGACGAAGCCATGCTGCCATCACGGTCCAGATTCAATCGGATGCGAGTCTTCATGAAAGATAAACCTCATAAGTGGGGAACCAAGCTATTCATGCTGTGTTGTTCAACGACGGCGTATTGCATCCGGTGAGTTACGAGTGTTCCAACAGGAGCACTCTTTTTTTTTGGCTCCTAAGTATGCTTAACATGTACCTGACATACTAACCCATTTGTAAACATGTATGGACAGTTTTGAGGTCTACTGTGGAAAACAAGAACATGCGGGTGTCAGTGGCGCGTTGACAGACTATATGTCTGGGCCAGCAGCAGTTATTCGCAATCTCACGGAGGTGTTTGGGCCTACAGGACCCGGCACAGGTGCCATGAGGCTGATCGTCACTGACCGCTTTTACACATCGGTTTCGCTGGCAGTGCAGATGCTAACCATGGGTTTCTACAGCGTGGGTACAGTGCAGACGGGATCGTCTTGGGCTGCCCAGCGTCTCTTGTTGGCGAAAAGAAGAAAGGTGAGAAGAAGAAAAGCCCTATAAAAAATCGCCCAAGCAGGAATCGAAACGTGGTACGTTTG